ATCTGGCCCCTGGCTGAATCGCCAGCTTTATGTTTCAGCCATCTTCCCTTGGATTGGTAAGTTCTTACCATAATGAACTACTGTATTCCCTGATTAAGTCTTGTTCCCACTCACCTGGAGAAACTTGCAAATGCTGCCTGATGCCTGGAATACAGGCCACACCGCCCGCTCACACCCGCTCAGGCCCGAGCTGCTTGGCCCAGAACTGCTGCTCTTCTCTGGCTCCCCCAGGGTGGGCCGTACTTCAGGGAGCCTCCCCTCCCCTCTCAGCCTGGGTAGGTGCTTCTGTCTGCCATCTGTCCCTAAGCCTCTGTCTGTCCTCTCCCTACCGTATCTGCCTTCCGAGAAGCTCTCAGGCAGCAGCCCACCTTGCTGAACCTTTCTAGGCTCATGTAACCGAGTGAGGTCGCTCGCTTGCTCAAAGCCGTACAGCCATTTAGAGACAGAGCCCGGCTGACCTGGGCTTTCAGGCTTCCCATGGCCTCCAGAAGTTTCCCGTTTTACTAAAATACACTGTGGGTTGTTTTCTACCACAGCCAGGCAAGTTTGAAGTCTATTTCCCATCCCACCATGCACTCACCATTTTTAGCCTAATTATTTGAGCTATTCCAGATTGCATTTGACTAGTTCTTCCCATGCAAGCTGTCTGCTGGATCGAGTTTGTTTGTGTTTATTTTGTATGATTTTATCACACGGAGTCACATTTGCTGTACGAAAATGGCAAGAGGCTTCACGCTCACAGGATTGGGAGGATTTTCCCTTCTCTTTGATTTTAAAATCACATCCTCGCCGGCAATTTTGCAGAGGATACCAGAAGGATAGAGGTGCATTGATGCTGCTTTAGAAAGATAAAAGCCGAAAGTCTGGTGGGAGAGCCTCCCTTTAATGACAAGCCCTGGAATGACAGCCAAGCCTTATTGAGGTCAGACGGCCATTTGCAGTGTCTGAGCTTTCTAAATGAGCCACAGCACCGAGTTCTGGTTCATTTTTATAACTTTTTTAATAGGACGCATTAGCACTGTTATAAACCTTGTTAATTAAGCAATAATCTCAAATGCTCCCTCGCAGAGGGAGACTTTCCCGGCAACTGCAGGTGATTAATAGCCAGAGTCTAACAAAAGCCTTTTAATCAACTAGCGAGGCGGCTTGGTGCTGCTATCCCCAGGAAATGAGAGTGATGGGGATCCTGTGGGGCCCTCTGAAAACCCTTTCTCCATTTGCACCTCTCTCTCTACCCCATCTGTAATTTGCACTTGGGGCTCCCTGTACCATCACGCACACTCTGCTTCCTTCCCCCTTTCTCCTTGTCCTCTCTCCCACCTTCATTACCTGGTCAGGGGCTTCTGACAGTGAGCTGGAAGTCTCCTTAGGTTACTGACTTCAACAGCCTGTTTAATAGGCGGTCAAATTCAGATGCACAGGGACCACGACCCACTAGACTTCAGTGTTGCCCAAAGTGAGTGATGCCACACACCCCCGGGGAGGGGGGGGCATGAAAATGATTCAGAGGTGGGGGGGCTGCAAAAGCAGAAACTCAACACTTTATCCCGGGCTCTAGTACAAAAGGTTTTAATTGCCAGGAGAGGTGCTAAGTTCTTTGTTTTGCTTTGTTCTGTTTTGTTTTCTGAAAAGGGGCCCAAATAAGTTTGGGGACCAATGTCCTAGAGGGTGTGCAGCGTTTAGCATCCGAGCTAGATTTGAAGACCTGAACCTCAAAACAGTCTGCTGTTGTTTTTGGTTTGTTTGTTTCTGCAAAGTCTATCTTTCTCATTGGTTCAGATTTCAACAGTCATTGGGAGAGTATTTGCTTTCTCCTGACCCTAGGGGTGCGGAGGACCATGTGTGGTTACATTTTTATGAGATTCTGATCAGTGCTTGGACAAAGAGGAAAGCCCAGGTGGGTGTGGGGACCCAGTGCTGTAGGCCGACTGGGCTCTTCTATCTTGATCTGGCAAGTTCTAAGGAGGTTAAACTTATGAAGGCAAAGGGTGGAGCTGAAAGGAGCAAAGACTGATTTGGGGGAGAGCCTGTTTGGGGGTGGATTGCAGGTTTAGAGTGGCTGGACAGTAAAGGGTGAGGCAGGATGCAGCAGAAGTGGGCTGGGGAGAAACCTGGTGCCCTCTACCTCCTAGTCCAGCCCCTAAGGGAAGGCCAAGACAAGACCTGGTGGGGATTAGCAGGCTCGAGGAGGGTGGTCAGCAGCGGTTCTCAACCTGTGGGTCACGACCCCTTTGGGGGTTGAACGACCCTTTCACAGGGGTCGCCCAATTCATAACAGTCGCAAAATTTTAGTGATGAAGTAGCAAGGAAAATAATTTTATGGTTGGGGGTGGGGGGGTCACCACATGAAGAACTGTATTAAAGGGTTGCGGCATTAAGAAGGTTGAGAACCACTGGTAATCCAGAAACAGCAGAGGTCAATGAAAACCTCTGTCAGTGGAGGGTAGGGGGATCCCCAGAGAAAGAAAGTATATGGTGCCTATGCTTACACCACACAATGTGATGGAAGGGTTCAGAGGGTGGGGCCAGCAGCCTTGGGTGACAGTCTTCTTATATGTAAATTAGCACAAACTAGCCTGTATGGTCTCCTCCAGTTTTGACAGTCAGCATCTCTAAGAGGATTATCTACAGTGGGCTGACTTAATAAAACAGCACTTCATTTACTCTCACAGCAATCAATTTAGATTGGGGTTGGCAATCTGTTTACAGGTAAGGAAACTTAGGTTCAAAAACATTAAAAGTTCTTCCCCAAACCTAAGTACCCCAGTGGTACCTTTCCCACCCATACTCCCACTACTTATATAGCCAGACTTTTTTCTTCTTTTCTTATTTTCAAAACCATTTTATTGGGAGCTAATACAGATATTTTATCATTCCATAGTTCAATCACATCAAGCAGTATTGTACAATGTATGCCACAATTAGTTTCAAAATATTATTTTTTCTTGAACTCCTTGATATCAGCTCCCTCTTACCACCCCCCTCACTCACTGTACGCCACCCCCTCACCCAGGGTCCCTTGTTCGATTCACCATTTCTATAGGTACGTCAATCCTGGGTTTCAAATACCAAAAAAACCCCAGAAAAAATATAACAAAATTTCAAGAGGGCTACCCCCAATGACAAAATACATCAGCGCTAAACCCCAATATGAAAATAAACCCCCAAACATAGAAAATGTTGAAAACCACATCAGGCCCCACATGCATCAGAGGGGGGATCAAGTGACAAGTTTTTAGCCAATCAAGTCAGGTTTATCATTTTGATCTCCTACAGTCATCTCTTCAATGCACTCTGGTAACCAGTTTTTTCCCATCTCTATCTATTTTCTATTATGGACAGAGGGAGATCACCGGAGGCTTATTTCCTCTGTAGACCTCACCAATGTATCTGGGGCTTCCACTGTCACCCATGGCCTTCTGCAAACCAGAATCTCACAATTTAGGCTCTGATACTATTCCCTCATTTGGCTGTGGATATGCTTCACCATCCTTCGGTGACTGATGATGGTGCGCCTCTTCCATGTGGACTTAGATGTCTGACCAGAATCTTTGTGTCCCCTTGGATTCCCTAGAAAACACTTAACATGCATTTACTGATTCTTGTCCCTGTGCCAAGCGCTGTCCCAGACCCTGGGAATTAACAGTTGTATATCGAAAAATACTATGTGTCTTAACCTCATGCTAGGTAAAGTCGAGGGTCGGTGAAAAAGAGGAAGCCTCTCAAGGAACTAGACAGACGCAGCATCTGCAACAATAGGCGTGAACATGGCAGTGATTGTAAGGAGGCCATAAGACCTGGCAGGATTTTGTTCTGTTGCCTGTAGAGTTGCTATGAGTTGGAGCCAACTCTGAGCCTCCTAAAAGCAAGACCAACATCCATATGAAATAATTCGCATATCTCCATCCAAGTATAGAATTCCCTATGGTGTTCTTTTAAAAAAGCCTTTAAAATGTTTATTTCACATTAAGGCAGCCTTAAAAACAATGCTCTGGTTTTTTGTTATCATTTTTATGGTAAGGAATCAAAGGTGATGAACTACACACGGTGCTCGGGTAGAAGTCCCCTGAAGTCAGGCTCCAGCAGGATTTGCTTCCAGCTTTCTCTGCTTCATCACAGCAAAGGGTAGACTCTGTGAGAGTGTTCTCTTCGCATGGCTAGTAATCCGCACAATTAGATACCACTTCATACCCAACCGGTTGTCAAAAGCTTAGTAAGATGACAGTGTCAAGTGGATGACTGCTACCACCCTGGCTCACGCACACCACTCGATTACCAGGCAGCGCAACCACTTTGGGAAACAAGTCCCTTGGTGTCATGGAGGAAAGTTGAACGTATGCTCGCCTTACCTTTCAACCGTTCCACTCCCCAGCCTGTGCTGGAGAATTTCCCAGGAGACGTGTGTAACGGTGCTCACAGCAGCACTGTTGGTGATAGCAAACCCTGCGGGCAATACAAGTATATATGGACATGGGATGGATGAGCACATTATAGTAGAGGCAGGCAAGGGACACTGGTGAAAATGAGCGACCTGCAACCATGGACTTCAACATGAGTAAATCTGCAAACCATAATGTAAGGGGGGGAGCAAATCAGGATATGTAGAATGTGTCCATTTATAAGAAGGTTAAAAACGGAAAAGCAAACATATATATATATATATATTCTTAAATATATTGTATACACAGAAAAATCAAAGGAATTATTCATAGGATTCTGGAAAGAACAAGATGAGATTAGCAGAGACATCTGGGGGCTTCCAAGGGATAGTTCACGTTCCTTAAGTTAGATAATGAGCATAGTAGTGTTTGTCATTATTTTTAAAGCATACACTTTTATAAATATTCCGAAGTATGTTTTGTGGTGAAAATGTATGAATACAGCTGTGTCAGATACATGAATTGGTATTGAGAGAACATGTCAGGATGTTCAGTTCCCTTTGAGATTTTGCTCAAATTCACCATTAATCCCTGATCTTCTTGTCTCTCCTCCCCATCTAGAGTGTTTGTACGACAGAATAGCACAAGAAACAGTGGATGAAACAGAAATTGCACAGAGACTCTCCAAAGTCAACAAGTACATCTGTGAAAAAATCATGGATATCAATAAATCCTGTAAAAATGAAGAACGAAGGGAAGCGAAATACAATTTGCAATAAACTTTGGATTTTTCTAAAAGCCTATGCGTTTTCCTTGCGTAACGTGTGATTTACGGGCAGTGGTAACGTCCGAACCAGAGCCTGCCTTGCGTGGTCAGGTGTGGGCAGAGCGCAAGCAGAGTTCTGGGGACAGCGGCTTGTTCTGACCTTGGACTTCATACGCCAAAGAAGCCAGATGGATTTGCTAAGACTCAAGCCACAACCAGATGCCAGTGTCGTTATGGGGATGGGAAAAAAGCAAAAACAAAAACTTCACTAAGGGGGCAAAGTGTTGCAGTCGCCTATCACTTGACCAGGAAATTGAACTGAAATGTTCACCATTCAAGGACTTCTATCTCTGTTATCTATTTTGTTCTATAATAAAACTTCATTAATTGTTCGATGTAGACTATCGTTATTTTCATTGATTGACGAATATTGTCTCGTGACGGGGACAAATGTGTGGAGCAACCTAGCATACCCGTCCCGTGAGGGATGGAACGTTGAGGCTGAAGGGGAGAACATTCTTGAGGGACGTGGCGGCTGTCTGCAGATGTAAAGGGCTGTCTGGAAAGCAGGCGACTGCCTCTGACTGCAAAGGACGGGTGTAGGACCATTTGTCTTTCCAACTCAAGGTGATCTGAGACTCTGCTTCCCTGACAAGTTGAACCCATGTGTGTAAGAGGATATCTGTGCACAGGGGATGGCAGGCACGGTAAAGGTGGTCCCAGGTGAGATTCAGGGAGTTGAAGCAATGTCACTTGGTGCCAATTTATTCATTCTATCTTCTGAACCTGTCTCAAATGAGCTCGCAAATACGAAGTCTTTTTATCTCATTCTTTATTCAGTCGCTGCGTCGGTAAAGTGACTGGCATACATTCTGTCAGCCACAGTCCATCTTCCTGTTGAACGGTGCTTTCCTTGGCAAGTCTGGGGAGTAGAGCATAATGTATTCTATTACCCAACGTGCCTGCGTTCTGAGCCAAGCTCCATGCTTGTTTTGGACTTAACCTCTCTGAATTTGTTTTCTGTCTCATAGAAAAGAGTTAATATCTACCTTGCAGAATTGTTGTAAGAATTAGAATATATAAAGGAATATATATTTAAAGTACTCAAAGTATACATAGATCCTAATGTTTATATACACACACGCATATATATACACACTAGGATATATATACTAGGTATATATACTGGGGTATATATGTGTGGGTGCATATATATATGTATATAGAAGATTCAATAAGTATTGTCAATCATTCACTTGATTTTTGACTTTTGAACATCGGTTGAAAAGTGGCCTCTGGTTTCGCTACTGAATGATTCATTAGCTGCCTTTATAATCAAAAGCTCAGCATCAGGCAGTTCCCACTTGTGTTCTAATATCCCTTTGTGTTGTAAAACGAATTACATGCATATTGTCAATCTTCTTTCATGGTCTTTCTAGCTCTGTGATTCAATATAAGTCACTTATCTTCTGAGAACGTATGTCCTTAATGTATAATGTGTAAAGTAATGCCTGTGTCACGTACAGTGTGGATAGCCTGGAAACAATAGTAATAATGACTGATACTTAAGACCTACTAGAGTGTTTAACGCAGGTTAACTTATTTCATGGTGTATGAAATGTTCCTGAGAGGAAAGGTTCCGATGTAAACTTGGTTAGGATGCATTCATCTGAGTGGCACTTGGTGTGACAAGACTTCACATTGGGCATGTTATTAGGAGAAACCAATCCCTGGAGACACCCTGGTAAAATGGAAAGGACCTAAAGAGGCAAACCCAGTATGTGGTGGATTGACACAGTGGCGGCAATAATGAGCTGAGACATAAGACACTTGTGAGGATGACGCAGCACCCACCGTGCAGTGTGGCCGTCCCTTGTGCATGGGGTTGACATGAGTCAGAACTGACCTGACAGCAACTAACAACAACAAAAACAATAAGCATCACATTTTCTTAAACGCAGTGAATAAAACATGCCTATAGGCGCTCTGCAATTCCCTTCAGAGATATAAAATAGGATTTGGTGTGGTGGTTAGATACCATCCAATCCTTCTGACACATAGCGACCCGGAATACCAAAACAAAGCAAACACTGCCCTGCCCCGTGCCATCCTCACAATTGTTATATTTGTACCCACTGTTTGAGCCCTGTGTCTATCCATTTTGTCAAAGGTCTTCCTCTTTGCCCCTGCCTCTCCATTTTACCATCCATGAAGTCCTTTTCTAAGGACTGGTCTCTCCTAATAGCATATCCAAAATAAGGGAGACAAAGTTTCACCATCTTTGCCTAAGGAATTTTTAGCTGTATTCCTCAAGACACATCTGTTTGTTGTATTGGCGGTCAATAGTACTTTCTAAATTCTTTTCCAGCACCACAATTCAAATGCATTGATTTTTCTTTTGTCTTCGTCATTCAATGTCCAACTTTCACATCCATATGAGGCAATTGAAAATGGTCAGGCATGCCTTAGTCATTGTGTTAGTCTAGGTTGACTAGAGAAATTCATAGATATTTGTATATGTGTATGAGTTATGTCAAAGAGTAATTGTATATTAAGAAAATATCCTAGCCCAGTCCAGTTCAAGTTCATAAGTTAAATATTATCCCATATATCTAATACCAGTCTATAAATTCCTCTTCAGACTTGCACAACACATGCAATGATGCCAAATGCAGGAAGATCACGGGCCAGTGGGTGGAAAATCTTGTGGATCCAGTGGTGGTTGAAGCATCTTAGCACTGGCAGGGGTCTCCACGTGGCTCCTCCAGCTCTAGGGCTCTGGCTCCATCAGCATAGCTCAATTTGGCATGTCAGCAGGAGAGAGTGTGTCTGGGCTCCAGTGAGCTGTTTATCTCCGTTGTGCCTCCAAATGAGGACATCAAGCTGTGACCTGGTTGACAGGCTAGAATCCATCCCTTCCTCAAGTTGACAGTAGATTATGTGACTGCCACAGTCATCAAAGGAACACCCTTGCTTTTCAATCCTTCAAAGAGGTCTTAGGCAGCAGATTGGCTCAATACAAGGCATCTTTTGGTCTCTTGACTACTGCTTCCATGAGCATTGATTGTGGATCAAGGAAAGGTGAAACCCTGACAACATCAGCCTTTTCTCTATTTAGCCTGACGTTACCTATTGGTCCAGTTGTGAGGATTGTTGTCTTCTTTCCATTGAGTCTTAAGCCACACTGAAGGCTGCAATCCTTGATCTTCATCAGCAAGGGCTTCAAGTCGTCCTCACTTTCAGTAAGCAAGGTTGTGTCATCTGCAAATCAGATTATGAGTAAACTTTCCAAACCTAATGCCGCTTTCTTCCTCATTTAGTCCACCTTCTCTGATTTGCTCAGCATACAAATTGAATAAGTATGGTAAATGGATATAGCCCACACCTTTCCTCATTTTAAACCAGTCAGTATCCCCTTGTTCTATTTGCACTGCTGCCTCTTGATGTGTGTACAGGTTCTGCATGGACACAATGAAGTATTCTGGAATTCTCATTCTTCTCAAATATACCCATAGTTTCTTATGGTCCACTCATTCAAGTGCCTTCACATAGTCAATAAAGCGAAAGTAAATATCTTTCTGCGATTCTCTGCTTTCAGCCAAGATCCATCTGACATCAGCAATATTATCACTTGTTCCATGTCCTTTTCTGAATCTGGGCTGACTTTTTGGCAGTTCCCTGTCAATGGAGTGCTACAACAGTTGTTGGATAATCTTCAGCGACAATATACTTGCATGTGATATTGATGATATGGCTCCAGAACTTGTGCATTTTGTTGGGTAACCTTTCTCTGGAATGGGTACAATTATGGATTTGTAATCAATTCTAGTCAATTGGTCAAATAGCCATCTATCAAATTTCTGGGCATAGATAAGTGAGTGCTTCTAGTGCTTCGGCTTTCTAAACCATTTCAAGGAGTATTCTGTCAATTCCCGGAGCCTTATTTTCGGCTAATGCCTTCAGTGTGGCTTGGATGTCTTCCCCCAGTACCTTTGGTTCCTGCTCATGTGCTAGCTCTTGAAATGGTTGAATGTTGACCACTTCTTTTCAGTGGCTCTGGATTCTTTCCATCTTCTTTTGATGTTTCTTGCAGCTTTCAATATTTTCCCATGTAATCTTTCAATATTGCAACTCAAGATTTAAATATTTCTGGAGTTCTTTCAGTTTCAGATATGTTACGTATGCTCTTCCCTTTTGGTTTTCTAATTCTAGGTCCTTGCACATTTCATTTTAATATTTTACTGTATCTTCTCAGGCTACCCTTTGAAATGTTTTCCTAAGTTCTTTTTTCTTCATCATTTCTTCCTTTTGCCTTAGGTACTCTATGATTAAGAGCAAGTTTTAGAGTCTCTTCTGACATCCAGTTTGATCTTTTCTTTCTTATCTTTTTAATGATCTTTTTACTTCTTCAAGAATGTTCTTTTTTCAATAAGTCATTTTATTGGGGGCTCTTACAGCTCTTATAACAATTGATACATCCATTGTATCAAGCACATTTGTACATGTGCTGCTACCATCCTTTTCCAAACATTTCCTTTCCTTGATGTCCCCCTGCAGCTCGTCAGGTCCTTCTGTCAGGAGTGTGCACTTAATCAACTCTGTGCTTGAGATATTTCACATGGGCTATACTTAAAGTAATTGTTTGCCTCTTGCTGAGTTGTTTTAATTTTCTCCAACTTCAACCTGAACTTGCATATGAGAAAGTGAGAGTCTGTTCCTTAGTCTGCCCCTAGCTCATCTTAACTTGATCCGGAGCGTCTCTCTGGTCTCTTCCCACAGATGTAGTCAGTTTGAATTCTGTGCATCCCTTCTGGACAAGTCCACATGTACAGTCACTATTTTTGTTGTGAAAATGTATTTGCTATGAACAAATCGCTGGTCTTGAAAAATTCTATCATGTAATCTTCAGCTTCCTATTTATCATCATGGCCCTATTGTCCAACTACTGTTCTTTCCTCTTTGTTTCCAACTTCTGCATTCTAATCACCAATAATTATCAATGCATCTTAACTGCTTGTTTAATCAATTTAAGATAAAAGAAGTTGGTAAATTTATTTCTTCTACACTAGCTTTAGTAGTTGGTGCATAAATTTGAGTGGTAGTTGTATTGACTGTGTTTCTTTGTATGTGGATAAATACTATCACAGGCAGCATTGTACTTCAAGATAGATCTTCAAATGTCCTTTTGAACAATGAACGCTACATTATTTCTTTTGAATCGCTCATTCCTGGCATAGTCAACCATATGATTTTCTGAGTAAAAATTGCCAGTACCTGTCTATTTCAGCTCCCACCTAGGATGTGGTTCTTTATGCATTGTATTTCATTTTTGAGGATTTCCAATTTTCATAGATTTGTGTTTGTGCATTCCAAGTTCCAATTGCTAATAATG